GAGCGCATCAAGCTCATCCCCCTGCTCTGCATCATTTTCACCTCCGTGGTGTGGGGCTTCGCCCTCTTCTTCTTCTTCCAGGGTCTGAGCACCTGGCAGGTGAGTGGTGGCTCAGGCCAGCCCAGGCCTTGACTATGCAGGGTTGACGTGTCTGGTGCACACTTGGGGGGGGGGGGGGGCCTCCTGCTTGGGGGGTCCCTGTACGGGGCAGGCAGTGAGGACTGCGTTGTGCATGGCCCGAGCGCCCGGTCTGCTCGACTTGCAGCTCTTCTAGGCTGCAGCACGGCCCTGGGCAGGAGCTGCGCGGGGAGGAGGTGGGCAGCGTGCTTGGCAGGGCCGGCTCCAGGCACCAGCTCAGCAAGCAGGTGCTGGGGGCAGCCAAGGGGAAGGGGCGGCACGTCGGGCTCTTCGGCGGCGGGTCCCTCGGAGGGAAGGACCTGCTGCCAAATTGTCGCCAAAGAAGAAAGCGGCGTGGTGGAGCTGCCGCCGAAGTGCTGCCCATCGCGGCTTTTTTTTTCCCCGCCACTTGGGGCGGCCAAAACCCTGGAGCCGGCCCTGGTGCTTGGCTGGAGATAACACACGGGCTCTGTCTGTCCCCTCTGCAGAAAACGCCGGCCGAGTCCCGGCAGCACAACAGAGACTGCATCCTGCTCAGCTTCTTTGATGACCACGACATTTGGCACTTCCTCTCCTCCATCGCCCTGTTCGGCTCCTTCCTGGTAGGTCCTGCCAGCCCCAGCACGGCAGCTCCGCGCACGGCTGGGCCAGCTCACCCAGCGGGAAAGGCTCTTTCTGCCCCCCCGCCCATCGCCCTGGTCCCCACCCAATCAGCTGCTGTCGCCACTGCCCCCTGCCCGGCCGACGGCTGCATTAGCCACAGGCTGCAGCCCTCCCAGCCTGGGCTGGGAGCACACAGGAGGGTCCCCAGAAGCACTTGTCGCTCCCCGGAGATCCGTCAGCCTTGGCCGGCAGGGGCAGCCCCCACAGAGCCTGAGGCAAGAGCGCACGGCCTGCACAGCCCTCTGCCCCCTGCCCGTAGAGCCCCAGCGAGGCCAGGGCCGGCCGGCAGTGCCTCGCTCTGTCCACCTAACGCTGCAGCGTCCTCATGGCCCCCTCTGCCGGCTGGGACATAGGCTCCCGTCCGGGCCAGGCCCTGTGCTGAAAAGGGGCGGGGGGCTGAACAAATCATAAACTCCACCCCCACCCCCACCAGTTCTACTCATCCAAAAACACCAATGTGGGGTCGGAGAGGTTCCCAGCACCCTGCCCTTCTCCTCTTCCCTGCCCCCCACCCAGCACCCTGCCCTCTTCCCCCTCCCCTGTCTCCCCCAGCACCCTGCCTTCCCTCCCCCTCCATCCCCCAGCACCCTGCCTGCCTCCCCCTCCCCCTACTCAGGGGCCATGGGGGGAACGCTGCCTACTAGCAGTGGGGAAGGGGTTTGTCCTTGGGCTGAGCCCCGGCCTAACCACGGCCCTGTCCCCTTGCAGGTGTTGCTGACGCTGGATGATGACCTGGACTGCGTCCAACGGGACAAAATCTATGTCTTCTAGGCCCTTTCCCGTCACACCACCTGGCCTGTGGTTTGTTAGTTGGGGCCTCCTGCCTAGGTGCTGCCTCCAGCCCTGGTCTCTGGTGTAGCGGACGCTCGTGGTGGGGAGCTCACGAGGACATAGCAAAGCATCCCAGGCGTGGGGGCTTCTCCGGAGGTCGGACTCGTGTTCATGCCCCCCGCCCGCCTCCTGCGTGCCAGGGTGTCATCCAATCCTCAGACGACGCCTTGCCAACCTGAGCGCATCACCTCCTTGTTGAGCTGCTGAAGGGGCTGTAGGGCAGACCCAACGCACCCACCTACTGCCGCGCGGCTTGCAGAGAGGGGTGGGGATGGTGCCAGGCCCAGTCAGACTTGCCTTGCTGGGGCTACTGGTCCTGCAGCGTCGTGGGGGTGGCTCCAGGTTCTCACCGCACTGCCATTCTCCCGTCTCTGTCCCCACCACAGTGCCATGCCGAGACGGACTGCCACGGGGACCTCTGCCTAACAGGCCTGGCTCCTCCTCGGCCGGCCAGCATCCAGCTTTCCCCGGCGCTCTGGGGCCAGTGGGGGGCAGGGAACCTCTCAGAACAAACGTCAGGCAAGTTTGAAAACACTCCCTCCACCTGAAATTAGCATTGGCCGAGTACTGGCCAGGGCACAGGGGGAGCAACGTTGCATCCCCTGCAAAGGGGATATTCAGCCCTCTCCCATCCCCCCAGTACCGGCACAGCACCCAGTGAAACCTGCCTGGTGCACGGCCCAGGGACCGGCCCGCTCAGCTGTGCAGTTCAGTCGGGCTCCCCTCAGGATGCTACCGAGCTGGGCAGCTCCTCTCTGGCCTGGCTGTTTAGCGAGAGCGCCGGTCCTTGGCATAAGTGTCCCTGTCTAGGCTGAGAACAGGCCTTTCCTCTCTGCAGGCTCACTGGGTCCCCCCCCCCGCCTCCCGTCACCCCCACCCATCGTCTGGTCCAGGGGAGGGAGCCACTGCCCCCACCAGTCTGTACGGCCTCCCCGCGGATGGAGCAGGGGACAGCTAAAGCCCTCCATGGCCCTACAGCAGGGTCTGAGCATGGCAACAGCGCAAAGGTGATTCTGAAACATTGGGCTCTCGCTGTCGTTCCAGCGCTGTTCTCCCCGGCCTCACGAGCTGAGGTAGGCCCAGAAGGGAGTTCCCAGCCCTAGCACCCTGGGGCTGTAGCTACCATCCCTGCTGTCTTCACTGGTGTTCACTGTTTCCTCCCCTCCGCCTGGGCTCTAACCAGTGTTACAGACCATAGGCACGTCTGCCCCACAGCCGGAAGATGGGCTGTCCGGTCTCCAAGGAACGTGACTCTTGTAAAGGTGCTGCTGCTGCTATCATTCTTACAACTGTGGCCTTTCCCGAGGAGGAAGGGCGCCGTTCACACCACTTGCCAATGTGACACCGTCCCCATGGGTGCAGCACGTCCAAACCGTCCCCAGGGACAGGTTCCTCCGAGAGGCGGGAGAGCAGCCGGGGGCAGCTGCATCTCGGTTCTAGAAGCACATGAGCGCATGACTCTCTTCAGTGCCTAATTTTTATTATTTTATTTAAATTTTTGCAAGGGAATGTATGTCCAGTCTAACTGTGTCTAGTTCCTCCCACTGCTAAGGACTTGTGGGGTCTTGGACTCCCGCTGGCTAATGTGTACTGAATGTGGGGTGTCAAAACACACATCTCTGTCGAGGTTGTCATTAAGCAACTTTCTCTGGTAGCCCGCTGGTTGTTTACATTGCAAGTTTGAGCTTGTATTCTAATCTTAGAATTGTTTGGGTTTAGGCTCAAATTTGGCCTCCACTCCGGGACTCTGTCCTCTTTGTTCTGGCCACATAACATATCAGAGATGGTTCTGTGGTGCACGGCCCAGGGGTGCCTTGGTTACACAACAAAAGGCTAAGAATGGTGCTTTCTCAGTCATCGCAGGGGAAGACGCCCTCTTCCCACTCCAGAAGAAGGGTCGTGTCGCTGGAATGTCCATAGTTTTCCAGTTTCTTGAATGCATTGACAATATTTTGACTTTCCAGGTACACTGTTACTAAGCCAAGTTGCACCATGTTTTCTAAGAATGGTTCGGCCATCAAATGAAGAGAATGAAACAATAAAAAAGTTGATCTGCACTTTACTCACGAGTCTCCTGCCTCCTTGCTCCGGGAAGGCAGGGGCCCAGGTACCCCCGTGTTAGCAACTCAACCGCAGGCCTAGCATTGTCAGACCTGCTGCTAAGCCCTTCCCCTTCCATCTGCAATGGACCAACTTCCAGGTGTGCTGATGGCTGGCCTCCATTAACGCCGCTGCTGAAACCCTCACCTGACCAGGGACATGAGACAGCAAGGCCCAGAGAGACCCAGGTGCAGCCCACTCTCCGGATAGTGAGCAGTCAGCTAGGAGTGGCTGCAGGGTATTTGAATGAAGGGGGAGTAGGGAGAGTTCTGTCCCTTGCTAGGGCTTGGGGGGGCCCTTTCTCCCTGCCCCACTGAAGGGAACAGGCTGTTGTGTGTGTGTGGGGAGGGGGTATGTAGTTCAGGGGAAGGGAAGCCCCTGTATCAGCTCTCCCCAGGAGACACAGCTAAGCGTTCCCTAGGCTGCAGCCACTTGTGCATGTGCTAACCCCACAGGCTGTCCCGCCAGAACATGGAGCAGCGACTGGCTGCAGTCCACGCCCATGGGCCTGGCTACACCAAAGCTGGACCACTTTTGGTTGCAGCCCCGGGTCTGGGCACAGTTCTCACAGGGGGTGGCTGCCGCCGCCTGGCATAGCTGTTTCTGTGGGGGAGTACAGCACCATGGGAGAGGTTGTACCCGTTAAACACCCCCCCCCCCAACTGCCATAGCAACAGCGCTACAACCGCTGTGTGTGGAAATGCCTAACCCAGGGGCATGAAGCCAGCCTGACCCAACCTGGCAGGCTCAGAGCAAAGCTAATCCTGACCAGAATGGCCTGTTTTGTTCCCTTTCATCCAGCCTTGATGGAGCCCAAAGTGTGGGCGCCTACCGGACCCCTCCTAGCCTGGCCCCCTCAGCGAGAGTGCTTCCGGCACCAGCCTGCATGTGCAGTCCCCCCCATGGGCATTGGGCCGTGGAACAGCGCTGGGAACTCCGCGGGGGACTGTTGAATGTTCAACCCTCTTCCCGGAGCCTGTTCTCCCCCAACAATGCAGCATCACTGAATTTTTTCAGGAAAGGTTTAATGTTTTTCTCAAAAACCTGAGCCCTTTTTGGGTTTTCTCAGGTGTTTTTGTGAGGGGGGAGGGCAGCGTGTTGAGCCATTTTTCTAGTCTAGACCCAGAGACCCCATGTTCAATCCCTGTGGCTGCCAATCCCCCCGGCAGCCGCTTTCCAGATTCACTGGCCATTCGCAGACTCGCAGCGCTACCAGCCAGGTGCAGTCACCTCACCCCCTGCAAGGAGCTCATTAGCAAGCCAACACTCTGAGCACCTCCTGGTGCTAATGGGGTCAGCTTGGGCCTTCCGGGTGCCCTGGGCAGTGGGGACCCAGCACTACGCAATCTCTTCATTAACGGATTAGACGGGGCTAGGTTCAGCGTGGCCGTGGCCCTGGCTTCTTGTCTGGTCACTGCTGCCCCATCAGCAGGCTCTGTCCCCACAGCTGCTTCCAGTCTCTCTCTCAGGCCTGGCTCTCAGCAAGGTCCCTGACCGTCCCCACGAGCACCCTCACCTCCTCCGCTCCCTTCAGGCCGTGCTGCCCATCCTTGAACAGCGTGACGCGGACATCCTGGCTCTGCAGCTGCTCAGCCACCTGCACGGCCGTGCCCCACGGTACGAGCTGGTCCTGCATGCCGTGGAGCAGCCGGACGGGGCAGGTGATGGGGATGGACGGGCGCCCCAGCACACTGTGCTCCTCCGCCTCCGTAAAGAACTCCCGCTTAAGTAGCACAGACCCGGCCCCAGCCATCACGTAGTTAAAGACTCCTGTCTGCTCCACTTCGCCCTTCACCTACCCCCCCAGGGGCAGAAAATGCACAGGCCAGTCAGTACCAGCTTTGGGATCAGGGAGATGCTATTGGCCCGACAAGCTGCACAAAACCCTGGGCTGTCAGGGTACTCCACCCCCCTAATCCCACGAGCCCCTTTCTGGTTCCGACCAGGGTGGGAGGGGAGAGACTCCAGACAGATCAGCAGCAGCCTGGATCTTCCCCCCGCCCCTCGTCTGGATGGGCAATCGCTTGATCCCCCCCATGCCTGGGGGCTCACTGGGAGCAGGGGCACCAGGAGGGATTTCTTGGGCTCAGTGAGAAATACGTCCCTAGGGAGAGCACGGTCACTGGGAGGACTCACAGTCTGGGCCTGGTGCCTGTTTCCCTGCTCAGCAGGGACAGAGCCGAGACCAGGTGCATTTGCTTCCCAGCCTGTTTCTAGCAGTGCTCACATCCCAGGGGGCGACTCTAGGCATTTATTCCCAGTGGCGGGTTAATGAATACAACCCCCCCCCCCCCCCCCTTTCCCCCCGCACCCGGGGCTCAGGGCCTTTCCCATGCTGATCGCATCATGCGCTGGACTCTGTCTTACCTCCGGAGGAAGCTCTCTGTACAGGGTTATGAAGACATCAGCCGCGATTCCTGTGGCCACCAGCCCAGCCACCCTCCCTGGGCGCTCCAGGGCTGCTAAGAGCATGAGCCAGCCTCCCATGCTGACACCAACAAGGATCTAGAGAGATGGAGACAGGGAACGGTCAGAGAGAGGGGCACCGCCCAGCGGGCGGCCTTAGCCTCGTCCATGCTCCACCAACGTGGTGCTACGTCCCTCTGCCCAGGACGTGCTCTCCTACAGCCCAGCCGAGCGCTGCTCTGAATCTGCTGCTCAGGGGGCACCAAGGGGTTTGAAGAGCCCCGTTGGGCAAAGCTTCCCCGCCCACGGGAACCCCTGGGGCCTGCACCCCAGCAGGCAAAGCCCTTTGCACCGACCCAGAGGCAGGAGGGGCTGCTGGCTTTGCCTCTTACCTGTGGCCCGCTGGTGAGTTCATCCAGCACTGTTAGGACATCTTTTTTCCAGTGGCCGATCAAACACTCCTCAAAACACCCGTCCGAGCTGCCGCAGCCCGTGTAGTCAAAGCTGAGAGGGCAAAGGTGCAGAGCCATTGTTCAGGCGGGACAGTCCCCCACCTCCCCCTTGCGTGGATATCCCTCTGCCCCCAGCAGCTCACTAGCTCTGCTCCCAGGCCCTGCTTTGCCTGCCCAGACCCCACGGCTCTGGCTGCAGGAGGGGATTCCAGCTCTACGCACCATCAGGGCAGCGTTCCCTTTGCTGGGCCCACGTCGAGGGGCACTCGCTCCGCAGATAGACACAGGCCTTGCTTTGAACACGGGGGGACGCAGAGAGAGGAAGGGGCGGGGAAGCAGCGCAGGAGACAATCCGGGCTAGTGTGGGGAGGGATGTCAGAGGGGTGTTGAGCCCTGCTGGGGAAGGGAGCATGCCTGGGTGGGGCCATGCTGGAGACAAGAATGAGCGGAGGGGGAGGCCCTGCGTCCAGCTCCCGTGCAAGCAGGACACGCGCCGAGAGCCCACTGCAGGCAGGGCCGGAGGCTGCACTGACTGATGCCCAAGGACGCACAGTCCTGTGATCTCTGGCCCAGGGGCTGGAGCTCCTAGCTGGTGGCTGCTGTTCTGAACGGCTCGGGCAATTCCCCATGGGCTGCCCCATTGGCATCAACGGGCCATCACCTACCTCAGGAACGCCCGTCCCGACTCCTGGCAGAACTGCTCCAGGGCCAGGCACTTGGGGTTCGCCCTGTTGTCCTGGAACCCTGAGAGGACGACGATGCCGGGGCTGCTACCGGCCAGCCTGTGGTAAGCCAAGCGGGGCAGGGCTCCCCGTGACAAGAACAAAGGTGATGCCATGGTGGGGCTGGGGAGCGCGGCCCTGCAGGGGGGACAGAGACAGAGGTGTTACCCATGTGTCTAGCAGCTGCCAGCAGCAGCAGAGCCATCCCACATTGGGGGGGCGGGGGGTGCAGTCTGGCCACCCCAAAGCAGAGGGTGTGGGGGTCCTGGCATGGACCTGTGGTGCACCATGTGGGCACCCTCCCCCACTCACAGCACTTCCATCCTGCTCATGAACCACCATGTGGGGGGTCCCAGTGCCAGCTTGGCCAGGGGCCACCAGGAGAGAGGATGGCTGGAGGCCAGGCCAGGTTTGGGTCGGGCCCTAGTAAGCGGCTGGAAAGCAGCCGTCTGGCCCAGCTACCTCTCCAGTGGGTTTTGGCAAGGGCTGCCTGCTGCTGTCACCCCCTGGGCCGGACCCCCAGCCAGAGGGGCCTTTCTCAGAGCAGGGGCCAGCCGTGGGAGACAGCTGTGGTCATGCAGGGGCAGGGGAGCCTTGCTGAGACCAGCTCCTGGCCAGCACGGCAGCCCGAGACTCACGGTGGTTTTGTTCCAGCGGGGGCAAAGGCCGTGGCTCACCGCCGGCCCTACAGCCAGAACACACAGCTTTCGCGGAGGCCCCGGGGAGCTCGGTGAGTTGTTTTCCTCCTGTTCCTGGGCGGCTCAGTGTCTTGACACGGCTGGAAGCACTGAGGTGCCCTGGAAGAGAGACGCACCCAGCCTGCCTGTGCGCACGCATGGCTCCAGGCCATGGTTGGCTATCACCATGGTGGACCTTGCCCTCCAGGACAGGGGGTGGCGTGTGCAGCGGATGGTGTTGACACAGCCCCAAGTCTGCAGCAGACATTGCCTCCACATCATCGCTGCTAAAGAGGTGGGTTTCTACACCCACCTACAGCTGGGCAGGGGGCTCCAGGGTTACAGTGCAGTAACAGCAACGTGGCCGTGTCCCCACGAGGCCTTTGCAGTGAGATACCGCACGGTCGTTATCCTGCTGTATTCCCCTCCCCTCCCCTCTCCCTCCCCCTCCCCCCAGCAAAGACACGGCCTCCCTGTGGCGAGAAGGAAGGTACATTGTGCTGCCATGGCCTTGTACCCCTCGCTGGTTATTTTGGGGGTAGCTGTGTGGGGTGAATGGGATGCTAAGGAGCTTGGCTACATTTGTGCATCCCACAGGTTACAGAGCAGGGGCTCCAGCCATTTCACTCCACAGGGCACTTGCTGCAAGAGCCCCTCCCCTCCCAACACTGCTGGGTTGTCAGCTTCCTTGTGCAGCCCCCCGAGGGAGAGACTGTGAGGAGCCGGCCCCCAGGGGCACGGACATGCCCCACACTCCCACGGGTGCACGCTCTCCCTGAGAGCCTGGCACAGGAGCTGCATGGCCTGCCGAGCAGGTGCATTCCCTGCACTTAGCTCAGTGCTCCTGCGGGGATGGAGGGGACCTCCCAGCTGAAAATGGTCCAGCTCAGATGCGGGGGATCCCTATTCACTCACCTGGCAGCCGTTGGCTTGAGACCAGCGGGGCCCCAGCGTGAGCCAGGGCTGGCCGGCCAGTCAGCTAACCACACGGCAGCCCAACACCTCTCTCTGTGAGCAGCCCTGAGCAAGCGACCTCAAAGGTGAGCGGTACCTGCTTTATCTCAACAGCTGCCAGCCGCTGACCTGCCCCCCTCCCCAGCCTGGCCAGGCCTGGTCCCCCCTCCAGGGGAGCCACATTGGAGAGGCTGTTGACCTGGGCTAGGGCCTGGGGGAGCAGCAAGCAGACGAGCAGCAAATGAAGCAGACAGGGTTGGAGGCACCGCAGGCAGGAGTATGCAGGAGCCAGGCTCCCCTGCTGCAAAGGGAGGGACAGCCCCATGCTTGGTAACCCAGCCCCCACTCCTGCCTTGCAGGGCAGCGGGGCTAGCAGCGTGGGGGGTTTATGCCAGATACGCTCAAGGCGGATGGCTGAGAGCAGCAGGGACTCAGGTGGCCAAAGCACCTGTCTCCCGCTGAGCAGCGCCCAGCCCTGCACACACACGCACTCACCCCAGGGTTTGGCTGCAAAGCCTTCAGGCAGAGAGCCTGGCAGCTCTACTTCACCCCCTTCTAACTCAAGGGCAGGCCAGCTCGCTTGTCCTGCCCAAGATGCATGGCACCAGGACAACCGGAGATGGGGCATCAGCCCCTGGGGCTCTCTGGGGAGAAAGGCTTGCTGGAGAACGAGGCTGGCCGTTCCGATGCCACGAGCAAGCCCTGGTCCCGGACGTGGCACTGAGCACGTCAGAGGGCTGAGGCTTCTCCAAGGCTGCTCCAGGAAGAAAAGCTCAACGTTACTGAGAAAGACCCATTGGCAGCTCTGCTGCAGTCTCATTGCCTGAGATTAGGAATCACTTCCCCTCTCTGGGCCCCGGCTCTGAAATGGGGCTGCTGGTAACGGCCCCACTGCATAGAGTGCTTGGAGAGCTACAAGAGATGGTTATTGATTATTGCCCATGTCTACACTCAGCCCACGCTCCTACTCCCCATCCTCCTTCCACTGACTCTCCACACTTCTCCACTGCCCACACCCAACCCCTGATCCACACACAGTCTGTCTCCCTCCAGCCATTCATCCACCAACCCCCTTAACCACTGGCCTCCACACCTGTTCCTACTTACACACCTGCTCTCAACCACCCTGCCACTGTATTCCACACACCAGTTTCCTCTGCTCACTCACCTGCTCTCAATAAACTTCCCACCTCTACATCCCCGCCCCTTCCTCATCAGCCAACCACCATGGAGCAGTCCTTATAAAACAACCCTCCAACACTCCTCTCTTCTATTTAAGTGGTTTCAGTCAGTGTTGTCTGGCAGTCTAGTGAGGATTAGGCTATATACATTAATAGTATGGGAAGAAGGGGTATTCTGAGAGTCAGGGTTTGGTAAAGGAGAAACTAGAGTTAACTTTAGTTCCAGGTATAAAGCAAGGCCACATAACTATAAATAGCATCTTGTGTGTATGTGCAGCACCTGGTAGCCCAGAGCAGTTGGTGAGCTTTGCATAGCAGGGAAATGTAGTCATCTCTGGGCTGTAATGACCCAGCAATCTAATGACACAGCAATGCTACACCAGTTTCAGATAGAAAGGGAGAATGTGGCTATGAATCTGAAGCCTGTAGGGGGACGTAGAGAGGCAGAATGTCATTTGGCCAGGAGGCTGGGGTTAGCATCCCCACTTGTGAAAAGTGCTAGGGGATTTCTGAGCACAAGATGTCACGCTTCAGTTTTGTGTGTCAGGAGAGTCTGGTGGCTCAGGCACTGGGCTCTGGCTCAGGAGATCTAGGGTCATTTCCCTGCTCTGCCCCAGAGTCTGGGCATGACTTGGGCAAGACACTGAGTCTCTTGGGGAGTCAGATCAACCAGAGGTGAAATCTTCCTCTGTCAGTCTTGTCTGGCTGGACTGTAAACCACACAACGCTTGTGATGAGACTAGAAAAGGTTTATTTCAGAAAAAATCAAGATCCCACTAGAAATGGGAGAGTGGTAGACGTAGTTACACTACAAAACAAAACCCTAAAATACAGACCAGGGACAACCCTGATCACTAGCTACCTTCCCTAGCTAGTAAAGGCGGTTACCCCCAAAGGGTAGGCTGTTGCAGAGCTGACCTGCTGCCAGGAAGAGAATCCAACCCTCCATAAAACACCCCCACTCCATGAGCTGCCACACATCATCATGCTGACTGCACTGGCGAGGACATTGCTCGGCCTTTCACTCCAGGGCTCTGCTTTACGCCTGGGACGCACATCCTGGGCTCTGTGATCCGTAGTTTTTACACTGTGCTGATTTTGCTGAACTGAGACACAAGTTGTATTTGAAACCCCGCCCCACAGTTTTGAGCCCTACACTGTCCCTGTGACGGGTTGTGCCCCTTAGGACGCCATCTGATGTGCTGAGAGATACCACTGAGTCCACCTGTTCTGCCAGCGTGGGCCCCCTTTAACCTGTCTTGCTGAGCCAGGCTATTAAAGCCTCCTCTAACAAACACAGGCAGGGCCACCCCCAGCTGCAGATCAGCTCTGGGAAGACAGCTTAAGGGGCTTGCTCCAGGACTCTGGTGCTCACTCCGTTTAAGGGGGACAAACCCAAAGATTTTATGAAATTCAACCTCTCCCTCAATGTGGAGAAAGGTGTGCACACTTCTTGCCATCCCTCCCCCCATTAGAAATTAGACACTGGGTTTAATAATAAACAAAACCAATTTTATTAACTATAAAAGGCAGATTTTAAGTGGTAGAAGGGGTAACACAGAGAACAAAGCAGATTACTAAGCAAATGAAATCAATTAATTGCCAAAATTAGGCTATCCCATCATACCATTCCCTCCATAAACTTATCAAGCTTAGTCTTGAAGCCAGATATGTCTTTTGAACAGCCTTCCAAGGGGAGTAGTGGGGGCAAAAGACATATGAAATCAAACACGCAAACTCAGCTAGTTTCACTAAAGAAATTGGTTACCAATAGTATTTCTCACCCTAGATATTGTTGCAGGCAGGTTGCAGAATTTCGGTGGTTCAGAGTTCCAGTTCTATCCCTTTTCAGACTGGACCCGTCTCAGTCTGGACTCTCCCCTTGTCTTCCCTTTAGGTGGCTTTTGCAGTCTTTCTCCTTGGGCAGACAGACCATAGCGAGGAGGAGTCCTGTTTGCCTTCCTCCCCACCCGTAAATAGGATTGACATGAGGCGGGAATCCTTTGTTTCCAAACTTGACCCCCACCCCCTTCCCTTACAGTGGAAAGTTACAAGAAGTCCCAGGTAATGTTTAGGATCAGGTGACAAGACCACCTGACTCTGTAGGATCAGAGTCAGCGGCTGTATGGAGCGTCCACAGGAAGGCCAAGCTTCACAGCTCATTGTCCTCGCTGATGGCCCATCTGCCCTGTCTGGCTTTTCCATTGTTCTACCTCAAGGGTTAGCAGTGGGCGTCACCCAAAGTAGCATAGCCTGAAATACAGATACATAGTCAATATTCCTAACTTCAGATACAGAAATGACACAGGCATACAAATTGGATAATCACATTCAGTAAATCACAACCTTTCCCGTGATCTCTCACATGAGCCATCTTGCATGAAGTACATCTCAGTTATGTCAGTCATATCATAAGCATGTTTTCATAAAGAACATGGGGTGACACGTCACAAGCCCCACCAGATTCATTTCATGTTTGACTGTGACCCAGCCACGTTTGCCCCGGAGGGAAAGGCAAGCGCATGAGCCCACCGTGCCCAGTTCCTAGCAGTTTATTTAAAATTGTCACCACATCACTCCAGCTCAGAGGAGACGCCAGACGCTTTGGGACCCCTCTAGCCACAGGCTTCTGTATGCATCATGTAAAAGCAGCAAAGAGTCCTTTGGCACCTTATAGACTAACAAACGTATTGGAGCATAAGAATCCAATGCGTCTGACGAAGTGGGCATTCACCCACGAAAGCTCATGCTCCAATACGTCTGTTAGTCTATAAGGTGCCACAGGACTCTTTGCTGCTTTTACAGATCCAGACTAACACGGCTACCCCTCTGATGTATGCATCATGGAGCCCTTGTGTGGGACTGACCCAGGGTTCACCCTGCCCTGGGCTCTCCACCGTGGGAGCTCAGCTGTTCGTCTGCTGGAGCTGCTCCGGCCCCGAGGACCCAGCTGACCAGGCGATGTCACTCTCGCTCCACTGCAATGCTTTGCCGCTGAAATTCTTGCTTCAAAGCTGAGCTAGAGAGCAAGCCGGGCAAAGGCTGTCCCTGCAGCCCCCACAGAGCAGCCCCCAGGCTACAGAGGGGGTGGCTGAGACCCCAAATTCTGCATAGCCACGTGCCTTGTCCCATTAACCCCTGAGCATCCCAGCAGTGGAACCTGGGGGTGTGTGTGTGAGGGGGGTTGCATGGCTCCCCTGTGTCGCGTGAACAAGACTCACAGCCTCACCTCAGAGCCCACATCAGCAATCCAC